TTTTTTTTTACATATTTAATTTTTATGGGGCCCACCCCCATGTGGGTATCTGTACAATTTCTGACAAGAAATTTTCTGTACAAGCAGAAAATTCTTAAAAAAATATATATATATGAACAATTAAAGTCAACTCAAAATTCTTGAGTCTTTTTAATTTGTTCAACTCATTGCCTTCTTAAATAATTTACTCGCTTATTATTCTCAATAATTATAAAGAAAAGATCAATGGCCTGTAACAATATTTCGATCATCAATACAACAATAATTATTGAAGGAGATGACTTTATTTTAAACCATTAAAATGCAATCTTTTTTTATTTTTACCTATTCAATTTAGTTGAAAAATTAGTTAACTGTCATTTCCAGTTTATTTATTTATTTATTTTAAATACAAAAAAGTCAACTCCACTAGGTTAAGAAAATTAGTAATAATTTTTATTCCTTTAATGTTATACTTTGTAGTTAAAATGGCCGGCAAATGTCATTCATTTTGGACAAATAACAGGCTGCACCAACTCCATATTGTATTGTTTCTATCAATAACCATTACCCCATCTTGCACTGTCTCGTACATGGACGAGGCTTGGTGTACCGGTCAAGGGTGACAAACACCCTGACCGGCCTCTCACATCGGGTGGGGGCCTCCACATTTTTTGTCCAATTTTTTATTCATGTGGGATCGGCTCATGTGAGAGTGTGTCAAGCTTTTTGTCAAATTTTTTTTGTACAAGTAGCTTGTAAACGTAGAATACGGACACACACGTGTGTTTTAGCGTTTTTGTTCAATCGTTAATGTTTTATAACACTATGGATGCTTAGGTAGAAATGAAAGTCAATATCTAAGTCGGGCTACTACATGATAATATCCAATTTAGTTTACAAATTTACAAATATTTAGTCAATTTTTCACTTAGAAGCTTGAATTTTCGACAACCAACCACGTGTCAAGTCGTAATGGTTGCCACCTCAAATATGTATTTTGCTGAGTTGTCCACACGATTACTTCGAATGAGCTAAAACTGCACTCTAGTGGAAGCACTTGATAATGACCCTTGAAGTATGAAATGCCTAAATTTAGCCAAATATATAATGGCCAAGTTATTGAAAATACCCAAAGGGAGACCTCATTTACATAAGATTTTGTGTTAAAGTACATGACTATTAGAGATGGCAACAGGACAGGTTCTCCGCCCCGCTTCGCCTTAGACTGGGCGGGGAGCGGGCCTCCCCCATTTCCTGCCCAGTTTTTTTTTTTAATTTTCAGTTAAAATAAAAATTTTAAACATCAATATCCAAAGCAAATACTCAAAACAAAAAATGTCCAAAATAAATTTTTTTTCTTCATGAGGGTTCAGGGCAGGGCATCCCCGCCCCGCCCCGCCCTGCCCCGCGACTTGAGACCCACCCTGTCAAACTAGTGGTGCGGATTTTTTTTACCATCTCTAGTGACTATATATTAATTTTCGACTCCCTTACCATGGACGACCAAGAAAGATGATCAATGTGACATGTTTAATATGTTGCATTAAAAAATAATTGTACAATAGACACCAAATCCAACGTACCTAATATTCATTCGGTGTTTGCTAATTTTTCAAAAAAATAAATTCAATATAAGAGGTATTTTGGCAAGGTAGCCCCAAGCTACATGTGTTTATTTTGAATGAATCCTCTAATCACTTCCGCTATATATGTATTTAGACATGGCCACATGCTTGCCTTAACAATAATCAATATGAAATGTGAACATAACAAACACTCCAAGAATTATTAACTAAGCCCACCTCAGAGTGTTATATTACATAACTTATCAACTAATTTTTAATGGCAGTTGACACAACATTAAATGGACCCTTAATCACATTTAATTCCATCATTATCTGGTGGCTGCTCTAAGGTAATCTCTACCTAATTTCTCCTAACATTTTTTTCTTTTTCTTTTTCTGATTTTAGCTCCTTTTCACCTTAAAAAAAGTCAACTATCTAAATAATAGTCGTTTAATAGTCGAAACAATTAGGTGGGACATACACATTCACTATGCTAAGCGTTCGTTTGGCACATAAGCGTCCTCCTTTCGCCTTAAAAAAATCAATTATCTAAATAATCGAGTCGTTTAGTAGTCGAAAGAATTAGATGGGACATACACGTTCACTATACTAAGGGTCAATGTGGCATATGATCAGTTTCTTCTAAAAATTCTTCTAGTCAGCCAAAATATTTTTAGAAAATTATCAAAATATGTTCAAAAACAACTTCCTAATCTCATAACCAACTTTTGACTTTTTAAAAGTACCGTCAAATGAGTCTTGAAAGCACTTTTGAAATGAGTGGATAATACATGTAGTGTGTTAGTTAAGAAACTTGAAATGTTAGGAGTAATTCAGTTGAATATGTAGGTGTGAATTGGTGGGATGAGAGTTACTTAAAACTGTCAAAACATAACAAATAAAAAAAGCTTAAGGTTGAAGTATTACATAGAAAAATATATTAATACAGGTGGATACACACATGTATAGGCAGTTACCAACCCATCTTTCCATCCACTTGATTCTTTGTCATTTAATGAAACAGACAGACAAAGGAAGTTTTTATTTGTAACGAAAATAAAATAAAGACATCCTAATCCACGACTTTAGTTGTGGTGCTGGTTATGCCTAACCATGTCCATGCTATGCTATCCCTTTCTCTATCTCACTCACACTACACGTTCTTTAACACTTTGTGGAGGGTTGGAAATCCCTTTTCCACTCAAAAGAAATCAGAGAAAATAAATATAAAAAATAAAATAATGAGACTCATCACTAACTTTTCGTGAATGAAAGCAACCGTGAACTGTATTTTGTTACTTACTCAAAGAATTCAGCTTTCAACATAACATAAAAAGCAAGAAAGACTTAAAAAGAAAGAATTAATAACGACAATATTAATGAATTATGAATTATAACAATTGATAATTATGGTAAAAAAGAGAATGTGAAACAATTTTTTTAGCTGTTGAATCAATGTCAACTCTTGTTTTCTAGTAGTGGCAGTCGACTAAGGCCGGGGATGAGAAGAGAAGAAACTTTTCATCCGGCCGGTGATCATCCTCCGGTGGTGCCGGGAGGTTAAGATCCAAAGCAAGAATATTTCTATGTTTCTCAGAATCATCGGTGCCACTTCTACTAGTATTTGGTGCTGTCCTATGCCTTCTCATGTGACCTCCCAATGCTTGTCCTGATGAAAACTCTGAACCACATATTGAACACTCATGGATTTTAGGCTTAATATCAACTTTGCTTGATGATTGGATCGAAGGTGGTGGACTAAGCCTAGTGATGAGCAATGTCTTTTCTTCGTCCTTGTGATCGAACGGTGATGATTTTTTCTGATCATCTGATGAAGACTTGGGCTTTTTGTGACTTGCTCTGTGCCCACCTAAAGCTTGAAATGATGGAAAAGTTCTATTGCAAGTTTTGCATTCATAAACATAGATGCCAACCTTTCCATGTGTTATATTGGCCATTTCTGAGAATTTTTGGCTACTAAATTTCTCCACCTTGTCACCACTTTGTGCTAAAAGAATTAGACAATTGGCCATGTCTTCATCTTCCTCAGTACTTGTCGATATTCCACTTGATGTTGTTGTGGTTGTGGGAGATGAAACCAATAAACGGAACTCATTTCCGCCTCTACCGCCACCACAACCACCACCGCTCGATGAGCTAGAGTGTGATGACCTTAGCGGCTTTGTACGCTTTCTTTTAAGGATCATTTGATCCTTGTATTTTGTAAACTCTTCTGTCATCTCCATTTCCATATACCCAAAAGAGGTTACAAGTTTCAATATATAAGAGAGAAGAACAAGAATTCAGAACAAGACTTGGAAAGGACACTAAGTAGTAGTGTAAGAAAGCGGAGAGTGAGATGAGAGAAACTGTGAATGGGTCATCTATATGTGGGTGTATGTATATATAATCAATTGTATTAAAGTGTTTGGAGTTCAAATCCAACCTGGTCGACAGTTACCATGAACTAGCCTGTGGCCACCAATATTCCTTGCGTTTCCAACTTGAACAAGTGTTTTTTTTAACAAAGTGCAACGATATTTAAGATAGAAGCGTATAACGAATAATATTTTTAATATGCCTTCGTCTGGTTTAGATAAAAATCAGATTTTTAATAAACGTTAATGGTATGTATTGTTGAAAAGTTGCGGATCTCATGAATGTGTGGTTGAAATTAATTGTTGATTTCCATTTTCATTTTAATAAACTTCGTACATTTTATCTTATTAAATATGTCATGATAAAAAATTATGTCACGCTGAGTTTTTACTTTTAAAGGGATAAAAAAAATTCATCGTAATGGAGAAAATTAAGAAGTCTTTTTTTCATGTAGAAAACAAAAATTAGGTATGTTGTAACACTAAATAATGCATCATCACTTCATGTCTTCTTAAACTTAAAGAAAAGTATACTATTTTTAGAGAGAGAGAGAGAGAGAGATGGAAGTGAGGCAAACCAACAAGATTCGGTTGGCTTTCAAGCAAACCCTTTAAACTCTTTTTCCTAAACTAGTCCTCTTAATGGTATAACTTGGATCGGTTGTCACACTCTTTATTTTTTTTTATAAACTATCCCCTACTATTTGTACCAAATATTATATGGGACTAAAATAATATTTATCGAGTCGAATATAATGCACTGAAAACACACTGACAATATTTAAAAAGAGAAAAAGTTATAATTTTGTTCTTCACATATTGTTCGATTTTACTTAATATTGTGTTATTCACCACGCATCATCTACGGCTTTGATACTCCATATTAACACGCTTCTTAAAAGTAAGATTAAGCCATACATCAAATCCAAAGTGATGAAGATGAGACAAAAACAAAACAAAAAAAGTTCAGTGGGGCTTAGATTAATGTAAATGTAGAAAGATACGTAAAATTGAGACATATAGCACAAAATGGGGCCATAAAAAAAATGATTTAGAAGATGAGTAAAACACTCCCAACTTATATTCAATCACGGTAGAAATTGAACTAATTTTACCAGCCTTGGTCGTATATCACTCCATAGTTCCACGTGCTCTAATCCTTTGAGCTACATGCCCCACTCCGTCTACACTGGATTCGTTCCTCGGAGTACCCTAAAAAAAAAGGGAACCGTACTCGACCACAATTGCCCCATCCTAGAACCGTGTATGATTTACTCCAAAAATTCGTTTTTCTATTCAGGGCAACACTCCTCAAAACATTATTTCAGATTTCAAGAATGAAGAAAACAAGGGCACGAAAAATCAATTTTTTCACTTGATGTAATAGTTTGTGTGAGCTTGCTTGTTCGAATTCGAAATTATATTCTATTGTTAAAAGTCTTAAAATTATTCACTTCAAAAATTTTCCTAATGGTAACAAGTTGACATATGTGAATATGAAACATGAAAGCGACATTTGAGTTTAGTTGTGTTTTAAAATATTTTTGATAATGATTCTTCACCTATTAGAATAGGTTATGAATGCTACTGGTACATAAAAGACTCATACTCTGGCAAAAGCTTGACTTTACTATTTTAATTGCCTATTTATCATTACATATATTGCCTGTGCCAGTTTGCGCCTGCCACTCGTACTAAACTAACCAAAGAAGCAAGAGATACTAAAAGCAATTGACTCCTAGCCTTGGCTTCTATACTTGAATTCAGAATTCACTCCATTGTAAAGAGAATAATAAGTGAGAGTTACCTGTTCGGGGGTGGCCAAGTTAGTGAAGCAAGTGAATACGGAGATCAAATGTCACGAGTTCGAATCCCCTGCCAACACTTTCTCGGTCGAGCCCGTCGCACCAGACTTGTCTAGTGTGATTTACCTCTACTGTGTGGTTTGCGGACGATTGCACATGGAGCAGGGTTTACCTAGTGTGCACTCACAGTTGTCGGGCTTCCGCCCCTTCGGAGTGGTCATGGCTTCGCTAGCTAATAGCTGCTGCAAGTTCCTACGCCAACAAAAAAAAAAATCAGTGAGTGCATCAGAACATTCTATTTGGTAATAAAGGTCCAAGTTATCACATTGATCTCTTTTGGTCATGAATCTTATTTACATCGGAAACTGAATAATTTTCACGACTTTTTTATCCTCGTCTCAACTTGGTTTAAAAGTTTTAGTCTATCGTTGCTTGTGAGTATGACACTAAGAGATCTCAATTCATACCCCCAATTAAGTCAACTATGGGGCTGATTCAATATAATTTTATGCTATCTTGCTCTTGACCTGCTCTCATTAGCCTTGAGTCTTACTCAAAGTGGATCTTTTTACATCTCTTTCTTTTCATATTTTGTGAGGTATTGAGCAAGGCAAATATGTCACATTTATGCATCTCAACCTATTAAGCATTGTGTTTAAATGGTTGACAGATAGATTACCTCTTAGATTTAGTTTGGCTCGATTGTTACAAGAAAACGTTTAGATTTAGATCATCTCTCTTTTTCTCATTATCTATCGAACTTTTTCAGACAAATCTTGCAAGCGTACAAGATCGTTGACAAATAATACGTAATGATTATGTACATCGTCCCACAAGAAGTAACGTTCAATTATAGTGTACTAATTACCGTCAAATTCAATCTATTGTAACACGAAAGAGTTGTTTTAGTTATTATTCTAATTTAAACTATGAAAGCTATAAAATATTGGTTTTTGTTAAAAAACGAGATGGATGTATTGAATTTCTGATTCCACCCACTGATCTATAGTTCCAATTCTCGACTTATATAAGTTAGTGTTATTAATGTGTTCATGCCAATCGATAGTCCATTGATATCTAATATTCTTTTCCAAGGTATATTAAACACATGCTTAATACGATCTGATCCAATTTCTAGTCCAAATTCATATGCAAAGCATGCATTCAATCGCACGACTATCTCACACGTTTGCACACCCCATAAATATTATTCATAATATATATTGTCCATGTGTTAAGTATGAAATGTTCTACCTATTGCGAGTCTTCCAACACTATAAATAAGTAACTCATTTGTCCGAATGGTGCGCAAACATTAAAACAAAACATAATTAAAACATATTCAATCACAAACACAAGAATTAACTAAAGAAACGATAAGTCTTGAATTAAAAACTATAAATCAACGATTTCATCATCCACCCAATACATAAAAGTGTTTAGCTTAGATTTCTATATGAAAAACACACAAAAGAATAAGAAACAACGTCACCCGAGTCTAAGAATACGATGTATTAGAGTCTCACGTTAGCTGGTGATATTTACACGATCCACTTAATAAGGTGAGGGCAATCCTCATCTAATAAGTCAATTTTATTAGGTTGAGTTAGACTCAATATCCTTTCTAATATGGTATTAGAGCAGACTCAATTTTGCAATGTTGGATGCACCCAATATCGATTTATTCACAATTGTTTGGCATGGTTCACACTGTGCGTGAGGGGACGTATTAGAGTCCCACAGTGGCTGGTGATATTTACACGATCCACTTAATAAGGTGAGGGCAATCCTCCTCTAATAAGCAGGTTTTGTTAGGTTGAGTTAGACTCAATATTTTTACTAATACGATGAATGAGAACTCAAAATCTTCACTAAAATTTCCAATCCAAGCTTTGAAATCTCCCTTCTATGTAAAATTTCTCTTTTTTGCTCAAACTATGATAAAACCAAGGTCCTCTACGTTCTGGCCATCCTCTAAGTTAAATAGATGCTGGAGATATCATACCATAAAGAGTTGAATCCAGAAATAGGAAAGAAAATTTGTCTAATCGAAAAGCTATGCGATGGCATGGCTATCACATGGTACAATGAGTTTGGCTTCAGTCCTCCTGCAGATGCACCATGCGATCACATGGGTCTATATTGGGGACAAATTTTATAATTTAGTCCCTTAACTTGTTCCACAGTACACTTTGGTCCTCCCTCATATCTTTTCAGTCATTTGCCTTCTTTTCTTTTCCACTTGATTGATAGAACTTTCAAATCTTCATCTTGAGATTCGAAACAGCTTTGGAGCTATTCCACTTAGTCCTCAATTTTTGGATTTGATGCATTTTAACCCATTTTTCATTCGTTTTCTCCAATTTCCCCGTAATCATCTATTTTTACCTACAAATCACAGTTTGCATCGAATTAAGTCATTGTTCATTAAAATAACCAACAAATATTCTGATTTAATGACCTAAATAAGTGTACAAAAATACACTTGTTACGTGTATTAAGTCATTTATTTTCAATGGTGAGTAATTCTTGGTTTGTGTATATTTCAATCCTGACTACCATTTATCACAAGCGACGTACAATTGACCCATTAGATAATCGATTACATATATATCATAAAGGAATTTCACTTTAGGTTTTCTTTGTATGATAGTGTGAGCAACATTACGATATTAAATAAGAAACGAAAAGGTTAAAATCTTTTTCATTGTCATGTCCATTGATCTTACATAAACCCATAAAGCCGTTTAAATCAAATGTCCATTGATCTTACATAAACCCGTAAAGCCGTTTAAATCAAATGCAAAATAGAAGGCACTAGTAGTAGTGCCAATAGTGTTTGTTAGCGATGTCTACTTGTGTTAATGATGTGTAGATGACAAGTCGAGGAATTAGTTGTAACAAATGCAAATAAATAAAGCAAAAGATAAAGTGGCTATTGAAGTCCTACTATGAATGATACCGACTTTATGCCAACTCCCAACCCAAATTAGGTGCTTCTACTCAACTCTACAACTTGCAAAGCTGCAAGTCTCACACTTGCCTTGTGACTTTTTCATTCTTCAACAAGCCTTAAACTACCCTTCCTAATTGTGTTCTTCTTGTGGCAATTCCCATGTGTGTCCGTGTCATGTTCCATCTCTCCACAAGGAAATGTCACCTCATTCAAGTTCTAACTTCCTTCCTTTATTTTCTTCTTTTATCATAATTCATGCACGTCTAAGTGATGCCTTCAGATTAGATAGTCGGAAAGTACATTGATGAGTTAGATGTACAGTCTCATTTCCAAAAGCAAGCATAGGAGCACTACCTCACTTGCAAAAATGAGACCAAATGAAGATTATAAAAAACAGAAGTTCTACCTACTTTACATAATAGATAATATGGCTGATTTCACTTTTGGTACTGAAATCTCAATTGGGTCACCTAACTTTAATTTTTAATCAAATCACAGAATTTCATTTTACTTTCCATATCAGTTATTGCATTAGCCTCGTTACTAAACGTCTACGTTAAGCCAGGATCCTACGAAGAAGTATTAAAAAAATTAAAATTTTCAGGTAAAAAAGGTAAAAATTAATGTCAAATTGAAAGAAAGTGTTAAAACAAAATTATATTGTTCATTACAATAAATAAAACTTTTAAATTTCTTTTTCTTCCTTGGTAGCATCTCTATGTAGATCAAGTAAGCAGCCATAAAGATTATTACTTTGCTATGTTGCCATGTTTTAGATTGATAATTCCAGCTTATAATCAGTGCTATAGGCATCAAACCGTAGGATATGGATGTAAGAACATCCGTGTCTCTCCTATCTTAATAATGTCATCCTCCAAGTAACTAATCTGATTCTTTGAATGTGAACACATTGCATGTCTTCATGACCCTAATAAACATAACAGACACAGAGCCCTGAAAACAATTTAACCATAAATAACCCTTCGACAGTGAAAAGCGAGCAAAATGTTTTCAGCCATTCAACCTTATTTGTCTTTGACGTGCAAGTGAAGCAAAAATAACTTCTACAAACATGATTATGCATCACGTACTATCATATAATCTCAAATTATTGGATAGAGATAATAGAATGGCAGTTTTCTATCATACAACTGAAAAATACAGTTTCCATATGCCTTATAGGAAACATACAGTGAGAATGTCACGCTGTGAAAAAACAGGGTGATTCCAACTATGTAGGTTCCCTTACTGGGGAGTCAAACCAACCACACCTGCATCACACATATAAAATGAGCGTATATATTGTCCTTTTAATAGATAAGGGTAACATGGAAAGTCAATGAGGTTGTAATGAATTCTGAGACTTGAAATTAAAACGTGTAAAAGATAAAAAAACACATCCCGCTTTAGCTCCAAATAACCAAGTCAGAAAGGAAATAATTCTTTCAAAAAAAATATGTTACAGAAATGTGCCTTCTAGAGTGCATTGATTGCCAGTTATGTAACTGCAAATTTTAAAAAAGAAAAGAAATTACATTGATAATAATACATGCATAACATTCTGACTTTATACTCCACAAATGTAATTCATTAAAAAGAAATTCGGAACTTTGCCCAATTACTAGTACAAGTGATGGTTTGCATAAGGTCAAGCAATCTTGACATAGTATCAAATATTATTTAACATTAAATCCAGTAATGCTTGACATAATGGTTTGGTCATGCCTGAAGCATCAGGCAACTGCTGGACACAACGTCGAACACATTAAGGGTATTTTCACGATCACACACTAGAAGGGACTATATCAATCATAGTTTGGGACTGAGTTATATTCTTCAGCCAGTTCGAGTTGCATCAAAGCTCTTCTCTCTCGATATCAGGGTGTTATAAACTCTATTTGTTATATCCTAGAATCCAATGTGATGGTTTAATATCCCAAAATAGTTCCGTGTGGCTTCTGCCTAAATGGCACTAACGAACACATAAAAGCCAAAAAAGGGCAAACAAATGCCGAGAAAAGGAAAGAAGTAGCCCATTCTTCCTTTAAGCTCATGATTTTAATCTTTGAAATTTAGGAACTAGCCTATCAACTAATTAGAGTAGCCTTAACAAGCTCGGAGACTAACAGCTTTTACATATTATTAAATCAGGAATGTTCCCTCCGTTTGATAGTTTTCGTAATTTACTAAACAATTCAACTATAAGAGTAGGTTCTTCCATTGTAACTGAACTGATATTGATTTCTCCCCTAAATTCTCTCACTCTCTTTCTCCCTCTAATTCTTCTACTTCTCTTCTCTATTTCTCTTCTGCTACCTTCTTGAAGAGTTTTTTCTTGTATTTTCATGATGGAGATCTAACTAGATATTCTCTTAAGGACTTAACAAGATTAGATAAGTATTTTAGGAAGACAAGTTATCATTTATTTTAAGGTATTTTCTTGATTTTATTTTATTTCCTTTACATATTATTAAGTTAAATTTGGAAATATTCCCTTTGATAGTTTCGTAGTTTTACTAATTTACTAGAGATTTCAACTATAAGAGTAGGTTTTTCCATTGTAAACAGACTTTATTATTGATTGAAGTGAGATAAATATATAAAAATAAGTGGTGGATAAGTGGATAGTACCGGTGGATCCTTTGAAATGTCTGATTGAAAATGAAGTTGACTATTTACAAATTGATTTATAAAGTTTGCCAAAGGGAGGCAAAGTTTTCTCCTATCTTTCTAGTTTCTACCTCTTCTTCTATTTCTCTTCTGCCCACTTCTCTATATTATGTTGTCCTTATTGTGTGCATCGCTTAATTACACTTGTCTTGTTATGTCATTTTACTTTTTTCTACGATTGTAACACCTCGAAGTAAAGCTGGCTTTTTTCCGGCTTGCTTTTTTCTATGTAAAGTACATAGATGGTATTCATCACAGTCAACCAGAGCACAGAGGTATCTACAATAATGATTTTCCTATGGCATTAATTTGATTACTCTATGTAAAAGTACCCACGTACCAATTGAAAATAATCAAGCGCGTTCTCACTCACAAATATATAAATGAATATATCTCCCCAAATGACTAGAAATGTGTCTACAGTTTAAATTTGCAGAATATTATGGTACAGGTTCTTAAAGTTGATCTATTTAAGACTATTTTGTAAAATAAAAGGTGCAAAAAGGAAATGTAAGGTTGAATTTTCCCTTAATGGCCTATAAATCTTAAGCTAGAATATTTTAGTCTTCAGGAATCCCTTGCCTTCAACCACATGATTCTCAGAAATGTTAAGTAGGATCTTGATATTAAACCTCTCTACAAGAGTTTTCAACAAATGAGATTCTTGTTAGAAACACACAATATAGGCATAAATACAGGTGCAAATAAATTAGTCTGTAACAAATAGATCCAAAAACATAAGAAAACCAACATCAACTGAAGCCAAGAACAACATGGAATGTAATTCACATTCAGAAAAGATAAACATAAGTAGTGGAACCACCCAGCATGCACAATACTGAGATCTGATTTTTTCGTCATCAGTTCAAGGAGGATTCCTTGCTTTGAAACTAAAGATTGGAACCACCCTAAATTGCATTTTTCTATATCATGTCACAGCAGAAATTTTGCCCAGTGCTCAGGGTCAGTCTCTGAAGTTACTTTTATAGAATCAAAAATGTTCTTGTTCGAGCTTACACTGATATTCTTAACAATTATAACCACTTGAGCATCCTTTCCTTAAAATTTGGTTTAAAGGTTAGAGCTCCTAATGTGGTTGTACAATTAGTATCGGTGCAGGAACCCTTTTAGGTATGACCCTTATTGTGAACCGAACAACTTGGGTTTCGCTACCTCCAGTAGAAGATCAGTTTGCAAAGTCACCTAGATGGGAATATTGGGCACCCACGGACATCCTGATAGGAGTGAATTGTAATGACCCTAATTGCGTCCAAAATTGCAATATCAAGACTTGATTTGTGGGCTTATAACCACTAGGAAACCCTCTCATTGCAAGCAGATTTAAAAATTCTACCTAGGCTTTTCAAGTGAGTTCTACCCAATGTGGTTCTAAAATAATCTTGCAAGAACCGAAAATGACAAACACTCTTTTCATAAAACATCCTCACTAAAACTATATCAGATATTGAACTTCATAGTTGACAGAAAGCACAATGACCAAAGTGAAATATAACATGCAAGGAACTACTTCCTACATAGAATTTGTCCATAAATCAAGTTCAGGGTAGATACTTTGGAAAAGTTATGATGTGAAACAAAGAAAATAAGTTAATGATCTTCTGAGTGAGAATCAAATGTAACCTCTTTTCAATGAAAGCATGAAAGAGGTTTTAGGACATACCAACTACACCAAGGGAAAATGAAAAAAGTAAAGTGAAAAGGCACATACCACATGCCAATCTTCCACCGGCGTTGCCAGTGCTTAGACTAAGCTCATGACCACCTGCACAAACCAAAGGGATTTAGGGAGAAAGACAAATAATCTGAATACTTCAAGTGAAGAATTGAGTGTCATTCATAATCCTTTATAAAGTAAGTGTTGTGAAAAAGATGACAATAAAAGTGAAAGATAAACACACGGATTTGCAGAGGAATTTTTATTTCTTGAGGAATCACAATACAGTAGTTGGGCGACTACTAATTTCGCTTACAAGCCATATGTCATAAAATAACATATATATAGTCAGAAGAAGAAAAACCCTAATACAATGAAAATACCCAAAATACCCTTGTGTGAATTTTCGCCTTGGGGGCTTCGCCCCCGAACCCCCACCTTACGGGCAAGGGGGCGCTGCCCCCCTGCAACGCCCCGCGAGCTCACAGCGGAGCTCGACCCGCCAGTTGTGGCTGGGTGTCCAATATAATCAGGCTCCACACAACTCAACAGTAAGATTGCGAAATTTTACCCTTTCCAAGGTCATCCTCAAGCTCATGAACCACAAAAGCTCTTCCAACAACAGAATCAGGACCACTCAATGGTATCTGCAAAATTTAACCACGGATATGTCATTAAGAATTGTAAATCCTTTGATGGACTATAGTTATGATGAGACAAGCATATGCGCTAGCGGAAATATATGCTTCGGGTAGAGAGAAGAACCTGACTGTCCACTATTGTAGCCTCAGCCACACCTGCATCAACGATTCAAGAAGCAATAATAAAAATATTATGACTACCAATTTAAGTGAATAATCAACTATTAAAATTGTATAAAGAAATTACCTTTGGCGTCAGCAACTATGTTTCCCAGGTCACCCGCATGGCGAACTTCATCCTCAGGAGCTCCATGTGTCAAACCATTTGGATTAAAATGTGGTCCTATTAATCACACCAACATTAATAATCTAAAGAAAAATGCCATTGACTAATTCTGTTGAACAAATATCTAATCTCAAAAATGAAATCGAATCTAAACCTGTTGAGATACAACCATTTGTTGTGTCGCCGAACTCATGCTACAAAACCCAAAGAAAACGCTAATAACATTCGCATTTTCAAATTTAGTTATCATTTTCCCTCATTGTAGGAACAAGAAAACTCAAGTCTTCAGAATTTCAAGAATTAATAAGACTCGTAATACTCACTAGATGAAACCCATGTTTGCCCGGAGTAAGTCCAGTAACACGAACGTTCACAGTAGTCGGACCTAAAAATCGAGATATACACAAAAAAAAAAACATAATTTCAGAGTACAAATACATATCATAATCCTAAAAAGTAGGAGTTAGCTATAAAGGAATTGCAGGTGGATATGTACAAGCCTTGAATTAAATTAGAATCTAAAACCTAAATTAGCATATAAAAATTGAATTTAAGTATCTGCGAGTGTTAGTGCGTGTAATTAGTCCATAATTGAATAAATAGAGAGTTGACCGTCAGCTTCTTGGGTGAGTGTGACAACACCCTCGACGTTGGAGGTGCCCTTGAGGACCGCGACGGCCTTCTTGGTGGCGGAGGCGACAATGGCAATAGGCTTCTGGGCAGCGGAGGCGGAGAAGGACAAGTATGGGCGGGCAGTGGCTGCTTTGAGTGAGAGGCCGGGGAAGGAAGAAGTAAGTGGGAGTGAGGTGGCGGTGGAAATGGTGGGATTGAAAGAGATGGGGAGAAGAAAGTGGTGGGGTGTTGAAGAGAGAATTGTTTGTGTGGCCATGACTGCAAGTGCTGCTTGCATTGTCTAGGATTAGATTGGATAATGTGGGAATGGGTGAGTTTGAGGGGATTTTTGGGCTTCTGGGCTCTTCTTCGGCGCCTTCGATCCCTTCTGTGAAAATACACAAGCAGTCTGTGGTACTTTTTTGTCTTTACCCAGTCCTGCCCAGTGCCTACGTTTGTCTGGGTCATCACGATTCAACTTTCACAGTAATTGCAGTTGGATGATTTAACTTTTAGTTTGCTCACGATTATTTGGAAATAGACTGTAATCGATTTAAATTATAAATATAGAAAAATAGAGGGATTAATAGCAGGAAATTTTCTTAAAACGTTTTGATTTACGATATACTACTATATATTGAAAATCACGAAAACCTCTTTATTTGAAACTTTTTGTTCTAAAAACTCCCCTACCGTTAAGATACATCGAATTTTTCATTAAAAACAGTAAAAAATATCAAAAATAAAAAGGAATAATTGTAATTTCAGTACCCAAATTTTTTTTTCTTTTCACAAATTAAATTCAATTTTTTTTTTTATATGTGTCACCTACAATTCCAAATTCTTCTACAAAAATTAAAAAAAAACATATATTCTCACCTTCAAAATGAATAAAGGATTTGATTAAAACTCCTTAGTGTGTAAGAAAGTGATGAATTATCATCAATCACCTTGTTGTGCCAAATATATATTATTCATTCCATCTAATATAATCCCATTTTTACAGTTACTATAATCCAGGTTATAAACTACCAATT